GAGAGAGAGAGAGAGAGAGAGAGAGAGAGAGAGAGAGAGTTACGAAGGAAGAAAAGTTGTTTAAAATTGTTGGCGAAAAAGTCAATAATAATTATAAATCATAATATCGTGACTATTTAATATTGACTATATAAATATTTTATTTTTGATATCATTTAGTTAAATTAAAATATTAATGATAGAACTAATCTTTCACGGGTCTTATGAAATATTATTTATAATATCCTTAATTTGATTGTCCTCTTTGAGAAAGTTAGATTGGTATATGTCTTTAGATAAGAAAATCATGCAACATATTTCATTAGACTAACTGGGATGGATGATTTTTGAAAAAGAATATTTTTCAATGAATTATCTTATTTGATTATCTTTAATGCTAAAGGTGATGGTTGGTTGTACTCATGTTTTACTTCTTAGCAAAGTCATTTGCTATCTCTCGTTGTATCAATAAAATTTATCATTTTATCATTTTAAATAAATCTTCTCATTTTATCTTCTAACTGAGCTTATCTAATTTTGATATTAATCCTTTAACCTAGTCTACTTTGCTGCAGTTGGGTTAGAATATTCATCTGTCTTCACATAGAAGGAGATCAAACCACTCTCAAAAGTATCAGAAAGAGAACGGGAGTCCTGAATACTGCTACCTGTGTCATGGAATTGTATTTCCAAATGCTAATGACCTAATAGACTAGCTGATAGCGGGATTATCTAAGTACGTATTAAATCCATATAATTGAACGAACGAAACACAGTGCAGTTCCTATTGCTATGAAATAACAATAATTCATTTTATCCACCGGCCGGCGGAATGTGTGTGTGAATGTTACGTCAATTTGTGAAAGCTTGCAATTTATATCGAGAGCTGACGCGACATTGCCCACCGGGCCCACAGGCTGCCGGTGGTACCTCGACACGTGGCCGCACCGGGTTTTGGCGGCCAAGGACAAGAACAGACGCTTGGGATCTCTGTGGCCGCTGACGCATAGGAAGACGAAAACAAAGGCAAAGGCAAAGCTAAAGCTAAAGCCAAAACCAAGAGCTTCTTCTGAACGACGACGACGAGGAGAATCCCATCCCTGAACCCAGAAGATGACAGAAGACAACCCCTCTTATCGCACTATATAGCCAGGTAAATGGACTACCTCTCTCTCTCTCTCTCTTTTAAAGGTTCCTAGGAGATGGCACCAGTCACCTTGCCGCCAGGTTTTCGTTTCCATCCCACCGACGAAGAGCTCGTTGCATACTACCTCAAGAGGAAGATTAATGGATATAGATTTGAGCTGGAGATCATCCCCGAGGTTGATCTCTACAAGTGCGAGCCATGGGAATTACCAGGTATCTCTTTCCTTCCTATCTCAATTTTGTTAATTTGCTTGTTCTAATCTGGACTGCTTATTAGTTAGTTATTCCGCAGAATCCCTTTTCACTTTAATATTAATGATCAGCTATTGACCGATTATATTTTAGAGATGAGCTTGACAGATTATAAGCACAAACGAATATTCGATCACAAGATGCACCGACAGTATATGGAATTAGAGAACTTGGCCTCTTCAATATATCTAGCCAAGATCCTACTCCAATTCTTCAAGATTACCTTTCTAAAACATACCTATGATGTGCAACGCTCATCATTTGATCATAGAGTTCCATTCAACTGTCACTACTTTTAGCCCCTCATAATTATGTTCTCTTGCAGTATCTTCTTCAAGAAAAATCGTGAAAATTAAGACTTATTTGGAAGAAAAAAAAAAGAAACCTGTTTTTTTCTCTCCAGATTAAATGCAAAAGTTGAATTTAATTGGAAGTTTAACTTATAAGACATTATTCCAAAGTTGGAAGCTATTTTGGACTTTGTCGAACTATCGTTTGGTTGGTTGCCTTTTCTAGACCTTGCTTTAAATTTCGTTTCTTGGAGCAACGCCATGCATTTTGAGAAACCACAAAGCTTATCGAGAAAGAAAGAAGCATGAACAGAGTTGGACTCTAGTCAAAAAGTAACAAGAAAAGCAGCATAGTCTTCAAGAAATGATGATCCCTCTTCTTGTGGGGCATTGCTAGGGCCTGACGAGGGGCATATCTAGGTTTTAGTGATGGTGTCCTTAATGTTGCTTAAAAGAAACTTATAGGATTACCTTTTATTCCTCCATGATCTAGCAAACGATACGTATTTGTAATAATAACCTTCTCATCTCCTCCGGGTCTATATTTCTGAATCTTGTTCCTTTCACCAGAGAAATCCTTTCTACCAAGCAAGGATCTTGAGTGGTACTTCTTCAGCCCCCGAGATCGTAAGTACCCCAATGGATCGAGGACAAACCGAGCAACTCGGGCTGGCTACTGGAAGGCCACAGGGAAGGACCGAAAAGTGAGCTTTCAAGGGCGTGCTGTCGGCACGAAGAAGACGCTTGTTTACTACAAGGGACGAGCACCGCGTGGCTCTCGGACACACTGGGTCATGCATGAGTACCGTCTCGACGAGAAGGAAAGCGAAATGCCCTCCGGCTTGCAGGTACCGAGGCACTCATCCTCCTGCCTTTCTTCTGTGCTTCTCCACGTTTAAAGTCTGAAGTATGGATTTATGTCTTCATGGATCATTCAGGAGTCTTATGCTCTTTGTCGCGTATTCATGAAGAGTACAACTGCTGGTGCTAAGATCATAGAGCATTATGGTTCACCTCGTGTAGAACCGTTGCAATGGAAGCCAGCTGATTCACACACAGCTGAGCTTTCTTCCGATAGAATTAAAATTGGTGAAGAATTTGGGAGCCGTGGTCGTCCTTCTCCTTCTGAGACGCACTCTTCAGAGACCATTCAAGGATCGACGCTTGATGCGAGTGCTTCTGAGAATCGCCAGTGGATGCAGTATCTATCTGAGGAAGCGTTCGCCACTGGTCCAACATTTCATGATCCAGCATGCTTTCCTTGCACGCCACGGAAGGTAAAAGTCTTCCAATGTGACTCCGAACCACGTCCGATTAAAAGAACAAGAAGACTTGAAATACTTTTTCCTCTCTGGTTGTCAGTAAATTAACTAAGACGTCCATCATGGTCACCATGCAGATAGATATAGAAATAGAGTGTGCAAGACTTCAACGCAGGCTCACCTTGCCTCCCTTGGAAATGGATGACTTCTCATGCAACAGTCTCAATGATTCAAAAGCCTCACTTTCGGGGACCTCTCGAGGAAGTGCAAGTCAAGTGGAGATTCTGCAGGAGGTCTTATCAGTTGCCTCAGCAACGCGGGACCTGATCAACAGCTCCATCTACCCTAATATATTTTGCTGAGATCACTCGGTCCGAAGAATTTGCGTCTCTGTTGGAAGTTGACAGAAGAAAAAGAAGGGATTCTGAAGCCACGCACCCTGGGAGAGTCTATGACACTCGTCGAGATGAGTGACTTCGAACAAAAGTTCAAGGAAGAGAACAAGAAAGCAGAGATATTACTAAGAGGATCAATGACTTGAATAAAAGAGGTATCTGATGATTTGATTTGCTGTCAGTTTCACCACAGGAGTCGACAAAGATGGCCACCACTCTCATAGTGGCGTGGTAAGAACTAACTTGTCACACCATAAGGAGGGCAACTTCCATTTGAATGCAGTATCAAGGCAAGACTTCGTGGCTGAGAGATTTGGATTCGCAGCATGAAGTTAGATGTACATTTCCATGCTTTAGTAGGTTACGTTCAAAGCGTTGGTAGGTAGGAGACAACTTCATAAGGAATAAATAAGGCAATGGAACATTGAGTGGAATGCTACAAGTTGAGATTGTAATTATTATCAACATTTCAGGGAAAACAAATTCTTAAAGAGGTCAAAGAGGATGATGATAAAAAGAAAATGGTCATCTTCCTTTGGAATAAATTTAGGTGAGAAATATATGCAAAGACCCACATGAAATGTTGCAACAGGATCCTGTAAGAATGACCTTTCTTTTATCTATGAAGTAGGCAAAGCTTATTATGGTATATTCTCCATAATTCTAGCTAGAATATATTTCTACTATTTTGAAGCATTATTTTTCCATCAAATTATATATATGTGATATAAGAGGTCGTGTTTCAAAATAAGTAATCAAATCCAGAGAATTGAACTTTTAATGACAAGGTAAATCAGATTGCTTCAGCTAAACAATACTACAAAGCTACAACTTAAGAAAGTCTCATGGGACAAAAAAAACATACTTGCATTAGCATCTCCAATGGCTTGTTTCATCATAAGAGCACTTCCATATGCATGTAGTTCACTGAGGATAGAATTTGAGCTGATAATTAATAATGTCCTTTTTTGCTTTTAAAGAAGATAAAAAGTTTATTAAAGATAAGGATAACTCCAACGTAGAAAGGTCATCCTCATCGCACCGTATGTAGAGCATCAAACACATCTCTCCAAGTAGACTAATCCCATAGTGATAAAGAGAATCAAGTTAATATGATATATTCTCTCTTTAATCATTCTCTCCATAATTCTATCGGAAACTTCGACTGATTAGCTTTTCGATGGAGAAAAGATAAATTCAAACTATGCCCCTTTGCTTCTCTCCTATTTATAGAGGCCCAGTCAACTTAACCCTAATAGATCATGCTCTATTGAGTATTGGATCTCTATTTTATTGAATCTCATATTTTGATGATGAAATCAGTTGATGAGTTATAATCTAATATGTATTTAAGTGACACAAGACTAGTTTCAATCAAGGAAAGATAAATCGATTAAAGTAGTGGAATCAGATGTTGGGCTAGAATGGAACATGTCAGAAGATTGGACATCAGGCCTGAGCACTAGTTGACGTTTCAGTAGAAGGCTTCATGCCTTAAGTTCGGGCATCAAGAAAAAAGATAAAAAATTGTGTCAAGGAGATCGGATGTTGCGAAGGTCAATATGCTGATTGGGCAATATACCAAAGGAGAGAATGATGCACTGAAAGGTCAGACGAAGTGCCGAAGGGTTGAACAAAATATCGGATGAACCAATAACATGCTAAACAACATGGGATTCATGCTTATAATCAATCGTGCCTTGATTAAAGTATTCTAGGTTGTAATTAAATTGGTTTTAAATGTAATTAGACCAACTCAATTATGGGTCATTGGGCCTGATCTGGGGTTGATTTTGGCCTATTAGGAGCCCCATTTAGTGGCCTAAAAGTTGGGTCAAGTAGTGGCACCGCTAGACCAAGTAGTGGAACCACTAGAGGCTTAGTCTCCAAGAGTCTAGTGTTCGAGGTTGTCAAGCAGTGGTACCACCAGACTGGGTGGTGGTACCACCCAAACACAATCTCTCAAACTGTATCAAGCAGTGGTACCACCTAGTGTTAGTTTGCAGGTGGTGGTATCACCAAATACCAACGGTGGTACCGCCAACACCCTAAAAACCCGAGATAAAACCTTTTTTGGCTCCAAATTTGAATCCATTTAGGGTTTATAAACACCTCACTCTTTCTTAATTGGGGTAGCAAGAAAAAAGAGCAGAAAGGGGTTGTTATTCTGAGTTAAAAAAGTGCTAAGTGTCCTCCTCTTTAAGTTTTAGGCTTAGTCTAAGAGATGTGCGAGGCATGTAAAAGTTATCTCCTAAACCTGTGAAAAGAAGAAAGAGTTGTAAGAAGATAGTTGATCTTTGCCTGTTGAAAGAAGATCGTTAGTGAACGTCGATGGCCTCGATGGAAGAGGAATCGGGAGTGGAGGTAGGTTGCGACAATCGAACCACTATAAAACTCGATTTGCATTTCTATTCTGTTTTTCATTCATATTGCTAACTAATTTACTTGCATACTATACTCATTACTCTTACAAACGTTTTTGAGTTACGAGCTTTATCGAATGAAATTTTCGAATCGTCAAAAGTTTTATGAAAGCACTCCTCTTAGTACTGATTTCGGTTCTAATAGTTAGTATCAGAGCTAAGGTTTTTCTTGTTTGATTTAACACCCAAGAGAAATGGCTTTTATTAGCAATCAAGAGGGTCTTTCTATCGTTCATCCTCTTATGTTCAATGGGATGGACTATACATATTGAAAAACTCGAATGAGAGTTTTCTTGCTTTCTATAGATTTTGATTTATGGAATATTGTTGAAAGCAGTTTTTAAAAGTCTTCCAAACCAATGAATGAATGGAATGATTGGGAGAAGAAGATTTTTTTCTTTGAATGCTAGAGCTATGAACGCTCTATTTTATGCTTTGTAGAAAAACAAGTTTAATCGTATTTCTTTATGTGAAACTAACTACACATGAGATTTGACACGTACTAGAAATAACTCATGAAGGCACGAATAGAGTAAAAGAATTTAAGATAAATCTTTTGATGTATAATTTTGAATTATTTCGAATGAAGCCTAGCGAAACTATTGTTGACATGTACACCCATTTTACGGATATTGTTAATAGTTTGAAAGCTTATGACAAATATTTTTTTAATCTTGAACTTATAAACAAGATTCTAAGATCCCTTCCAAAAAGTTGGGACTCAAAAGTAATGGCAATACAAGAATCAAAGGACTTGAACAATTTTTCACTTGAAGAACTTATCGAGTCTTTAATGACCTATGAAATGACATGTATTGCACATGACAAATATGATAACAATCTTTCAAAGAATAGAAAGGATTTGATACTTAGAATAAAACAAGACCACTCGAGCGAAAGCTCAAGTGATGATGACCTTAAACTCCTCATCAGAAAATTCAAAAAATTCATAAAATATGAAACTAAGAACAAAAATAAACTTAAAAAGAATAAGTTGTTAAAGAAGAAGAAAGTACTCAAGATGACTTAGGACGAATCGAGTACATCCGAAGATGAGGAGCAAATCAATAAAGACAAGGTGGCGAACTATACCTTAATGGCTCTCGACAATGAGGTAAATAACTTAACTGAAATGTCTTTACCTTATAATGAATTATTTGATGCATTCAATGATTTTTATAATAAATTTAAATTAGTTAATAAAATTATAAATTGCTAAAAAGGATCATACTTATCTTTCTAATGAATTTAAAAAATAAAAAAATGAGCATGATAATTGTATGTTAAACTTTTACACTAAATATGAAGAATTAGATTCATGCAAAAAGAAAAATTTATTATTACAACAAACGTTAGATAAATTTAAAATTAATAGTAAATCCTTAAACATAATTCTTGCTAATAAGAGTCATATTCATAGAAAGGAAGGAATTTGCTTTGTGAGTAACACTCAACAAAAACCAGCTATCTTTGTTAAAGGACTTGCATTACATATTTTCTATGAAAATAGATGTAATTTTTATGATAGATTCGGGTATTATGCCTATAGATATTCACTTAAAAAGTATGACTCACATAAATTGGTTTGGGTTCCTAAAGGAACTATAAATGTCCTTATATTAAAAAACAAGATAGGTAGATCTAAACAAGATAGCAAACTCACCTTTCTTGTATATAACTCTACAATTGAAAGGTAGGAGCAAAAATAAAATTTTGATAGTGGATGCTTAAGGCTTATAACCAGAGATCCAACACACTTCACAAAGCTTGCCAGCTGAAACAAAATGATTTTGATTGAAAATGCTTTATGTTTAATGAAATCATGCTTGATGATTTAATGAGTTAATTATGCATGATGATTTGAAGTAATGATGATTTTTGTGATTTATAGTTTATTAATCTTGATGATTTTTATGGTAAATTTTATTTTTTCGGTTTTAAACGATGATTGAAAATGCTTTGTGTTTAATGAAATCAATATACATTGTTTTCAGTGAATTTTTTCAAATGTAAGAAAAGTGATTTTGATGATGAGTTTGGAGTTGACAAATTGAATTTGAATGAGGTTTTCCCAATAGAATCATAAACTTTCTTTTGATTTCTCTACTTAGGATATCTTCTACGAGAATCAAAATCTTTTCTATCTTTGATGATTTCTTCTTACGACTTACAAAAGAATAGACTTGTGCAAACAAACTATGACCTTGATAATGGTTTGTAATGGTTTGGAATTATGCATGTTATACCTTGATGACTTGAAACCATATTTTGATATTATACATACCCAAGTAATGATGATTTAAAAATTTATTATTTTGGTATAATGCCTAAAGTGATGATGATGATGATGATGACTTGACACTTCTTACAAGAAAATTTTATAAATTGAGATTTATTTTTTATGAATCATGATCTTGATGACTTGAGATTTTTTTATGAATGAATCAAGTTCTCCTATGTTTCTTTTGATTTCTCAGAATTATAACTTGAGATTTTTTATGAATCAAGATTGTTTACTATAATTTTTTCTTTTTGCTATTTGACTTATCTAAATAAACCATGATGTTTACAACTTGAGTTTTATTATGTATAATTTCTTTGTATTTATGGTTGTAAATACATTGGTAAATTATTGAATCTCGGATTTTGATGATAAAATCAATTGGTAAATTATTTGATCTAATCTATATGTTAAGAAAATTATGCAGGATTAACTACAATAGCGGTAAGACATAAAGCAAATGTTGTGCTAGAGTCAAGATCGAGATTTCGTTGGGAGTTCGAGAGTTCATCGAAAGATCGGACGTTCGTCAAAAGTTTTACCGGAATTAATTGAGAAGTCCAAGAGCTTGCCAAAGAAGCTCATCGGAACTCGCCAATAAGATCGTCATGAAGTCCAAGAGCTTGTTGGAAGTCCACCAGAACATTGCCGAGAGATCGTCGGAAGTTCGTCGGAAAATAGTTGGAAGCTCACTGGAAGAACAATTGACGTACCGAAATAAGAATACTTTTTTAAATGTCTTAATTATTATAGTTAGACCTTAAGTTGAGTTAGGATTGGGAGGTAATCCCACTAACTCAGTTAGTGGCCAACTGGGCCCTTAACAAGAATGAATTGGACTAGATTAAACAGCTCATTCAACACCTGAAGTCACGGTCGACGATGGCACCGCTTGGGACTCGATCTCCCAAGTGTTTT